AAACATTGAGACTGAAATACAATACCACCTGAGCTCTGCGAGTGCAGCATTCTTCCAAATGAAGCAGAGAGTGTTTGAGGACCGGGACATCCGTAGGCAGACCAAGGTGCTGGTTTATAAAGCCATTCCCCTCCCAACCCTTCTATACGCCTGCGAGACGTGGACTGTCTACAGACGTAAACATTGACACTGAAATACAACACCACCTGAGCTCTGCGAGTGCAGCATTTTCCCGAATGAAGCAGAGAGTGTTTGAGGACCGGGACATCCGTAGGGAGACCAAGGTATTTGTTTATAAAGCTATTCCCCTCCCAACCGTGCTATACGCCTGCGAGACATGGACTGTCTACAGATGTAAACATTGACACTGAAATACAATACCACCTGAGCTCTGCAAGTGCAGCATTTTTTTGAATGAAGCAGAGAGTGTTTGAGGACCGGGACATCCATAGGGAGACCAAGGGGCTTGTTTATAAAGCTATTGTCCTCCCAACCCTGCTATATGCCTGCGAGACGTGGACTGTCTACAGACATAAACATTGACATTGAAATACAACACCACCTGAGCTCTGCGAGTGCAGTATTCTTCCGGATGAAGCAGAGAGTGTTTGATGACCGGGACATCCGTAGGCAGACCAAGGTGCTGGTTTATAAAGCTATTCCCCTCCCAACCCTGCTATACGCCTGCTAAACGTGGACTGTCTACAGACGTCACATGCAACTCCTGGAACGTTTCCATCAGCGCTGCCTCCGGAAAATCCTGCAAATCTCTTGGGAAGACAAGCGGACAAACGTCAGCGTGCTGGAAGAAGCAAAGACCACCAGCATTGAAGCGATGGTCCTCTGCCATCAACTCCGCTGGACCGACCACGTTGTCCGGATGCCCGACCACCATCTCCCAAAGCAGTTGCTCTATAGTATATTAGTATTATTACTAATCACTGGGTTGTTATAGGTTTTTTCGGGCTATATGGCCATGTTCTAGAGGCATTCTCTCCTGACGTTTTGCCTGCATCTATGGCAAGCATCCTCAGAGGTAGTGAGGTCTGTTGGAATTAGGACAATGGGTTTATATATCTGTGGAATGACCAGGGTTGAGACAAAGGACTTTTGTCTGCTGGAGCTAGGTGTGAATGTTTCAACTGACCACTTTGATTAGCATTTGATAGCCTCGCAGTGCCTCTAGCATTCTCTCCTGACGTTTCGCCTGCATCTATGGCAAGCATCCTCAGAGGTAGTGAGGTCTGTTGGAACTAGGAAAAAGGGTTTATATATCTGTGGAATGATGTCCAGGGTGGGACAAAGGACTCTTGTCTGCTGGAGCTAGGTGTGAATGTTTCAACTGACCACCTTGATTAGCATATAATGGCCTGACTGTGCCTGGAGCAAACTTTTGTTGAGAGGTGATTAGATGCCCTTGTTTGTTTCCTCTCTGTTGTTGTGCTGTTGTAATTTTTTTCAGTACTGGTAGCCAGATTTTGTTCATTTTCATGGTTTCCTCCTTTCTGTTGAAGCGATGGCCCACTGCCATCAACTCCACTGGACCGGTCACGTTGTCCGGATGTCTGACCACCATCTCCCAAAGCAGTACTCCGAACTCAAGAATGGAAAACGGAATATTGGTGGGCAGGAAAATTGATTGAAAGATGGGCTCAAAGCCAACCTCTGGCATAGACACTGAGAACTGGGAAGCCCTGGCCCTTGAGCGCTTCAGTTGGAGGTCAGCTGTGACCAGCAGTGCTGCAGAATTTGAATGGAGGGTGAAAGAGAGAAGCGTGCCAAGAGGAAGGGGCGTCAAGCCAACCCTGACCGGGACCACCTTCCACCTGGAAACCAATGTCCTCACTGTGGGAGAAGATGCAGGTCAAGAAGAGGGCTCCACAGTCACCTACGGACCTACCACCAGGACACTGATCTTGGAGGACCACCATCCTCGGACAACGAGGTAAGTACGTAACCTTATGTCCTGTTTGGCCCGTCTAGAGAGGTCCACGGAAGGAGAGTCCCTGGATATGTTGGGAATGCCATCCCTTCTTTTCCTCCTCCTCCTCCTCCTCCTGGATCCGCCCGTGAAGCTTGGCATGGGCTGGGAGAGGGCCAGGCGTGGCTCCCTGTCACTCGGTGGCCCGGCTGGACCGTCAGGTCTTTCTGGGTCTCAAGGGAAGCACCCCACGTGGGAGCGCAAGGCATTTGCACACCCAGATATGCACACACACCCATCTCCTTTGGAATGCTGAATGGAAGAGATCACTTGAGGAGGTGGAATGTCTCCTCCAGAGCGAAGGCAACACAACAGAGCCACCACCTTCTAGGCCCCGAGGGGATGGCGCAGAGAAGACGGAGCAAGCTTGGGTTCTGCTGTTCCAGAAGCTAGAATGTGAACCAATGAATTACTGGATATCAGGCATAGGCAAACTTGGGCCCTCCAGGTGTTTTGGACTACAACTCCCACAATTCCTAACAGCCTACCGGCTGTTAGGAATTGTGGGATTTGTAGTCCAAAACACCTGGAGGGCCCAAGTTTGCCCACGATTGCTGTATATACTCAAGTATAAGCTTAGTTTTTCAGTCCTGCTTGGCTTATATTCACGTCAAGGTTATTTATTATTTTACCCTGTTAGAAATACATAAAAAATGTATTGTTGTGGTTGTTGTTATTACATTGATCATTCTACTTTATTATTGTTTTTATTATATTTATTATTTTACTCTAATAATAATAATAATAATAATAATAACAACAATAATAATAAATAACTTTATTTGTACCCCGTTACCATCTCCCGAAGGAGGTTTCGGTTTTGAGCCTGCCACTTTTGGACTCTTGCTTGCTTAGGTGTTCCTACGAGTGTCTCTGTAGAGCTTAGGAAGCAATTTCTTGATTTAAGGGGTTGGTGTGCTGGCCTATTATCTGAACAGAGGAGGGGCCAGAGATGTCACTGCCTTGGTCCTTTCTCTACATTACCGTATTATTGTTTTTATTATATTTATTATTTTACAATAATAATAATAATAATAATAATAATAATAATCTTTATTTGTACCCCGCTACCATCTCCCCAAGGGACTCGGTGCGGCTTACATGAGGCCAAGCCCAAAGTACATCAAACAAAACATCAATAAACACAACATCAATAAATTCTCTACATTTGGTCTCAGCCATGGCTTTGTGCCTGCCACTTTTGGACTCTTGCTTGCTGAGGTGTTCCTACGAGTGTCTCTGTAGAGCTTAGGAAGCCGTTCCCTGATGTGAGGGGTTGGTGTGCTGGCTGATATCTGAACAAAGGAGGGTCCGGAGATGTCACTGCACCTTTCTCTACATTTGGTGCTTTGTGCCTGCCACTTTTGGACTCTTGCTTGCTGAGGTGTTCCTACGAGTGTCTCTGTAGAGCTTAGGAAGCCGTTCCCTGATGTGAGGGGTTGGTGTGCTGGCTGATATCTGAACAAAGGAGGGTCCGGAGATGTCACTGCACCTTTCTCTACATTTGGTGCTTTGTGCCTGCCACTTTTGGACTCTTGCTTGCTGAGGTGTTCCTACGAGTGTCTCTGTAGAGCTTAGGAAGCTGTTTCTTGATGTGAGGGCTTGGTGTGCTGGCTGATATCTGAACAGAGGAGGGGCCGGAGATGTCACTGCCTCGGTCCTTTCTCTACATTTGGTGCTTTATGCCTGCCACTTTTGGACTCTCGCTTGCTGAGGTGTTCCTACGAGTGTCTCTGTAGAGCTTAGGAAACTGTTTCTTGATGTGAGGGGTTAGTGTGCTGTCTGATATCTGAACTGAGGAGGGTCCGGAGATGTCACTGCCTCGGTCCTTTCTCTACATTTGGTGCTTTGTGCCTGCCATTTTTGGACTCTTGCTTGCTGAGGTATTCCTACGAGTGTCTCTTTACAGCTTAGTAAGCTATTTCTTGATGTGAGGGGTTGGTGTGCTGGCTGATATCTGAACAGAGGAAGGGCCGGAGATGTCACTGCCTCGGTCCTTCACTCTACATTTGGTATCAGCCACTGATTGAGGTTCTAACTTTGAGCCTGCCACTTTTGGACTCTTGCTTGCTGAGGTATTCCTACGAGTGTCTCTGTAGAGCTTAGAAAGCCGTTTCTTGATGTGAGGAGTTGGTGTGCTGGCTGATATCTGAACAGAGTAGTGGTGTCACTGCCTTGGTCCTTTCCCTACATTTGGTGCTTTATGCCTGCCACTTTTGGACTCTTGCTTGCTGAGGTGTTCCTACGAGTGTCTCTGTAGAGCTTAGGAAGTCGTTTCTTGATGTGAGGGCTTGGTGTGCTGGCTGATATCTGAACAGAGTAGGGGCCGGAGATGTCACTGCCTTCGTCCTTTCTCTACATTTGGTGCTTTTTGCCTGCCACTTTTGGACTCTTGCTTGCTGAGGTATTCCTACGAGTGTAGAGCTTAGGAAACTGTTTCTTGATGTGAGGGGTTGGTGTGCTGGTTGATATCTGAACAGAGGAGTGGTGTCACTGCCTCGGTCCTTTCTCTACACTTGGTGCTTTGTGCCTGCCACTTTTGGACTCTCGCTTGCTGAGGTATTCCTACGAGTGTCTCTTTACAACTTAGGAAGCTATTTCTTGATGTGAGGGGTTGGTGTGCTGGCTGATATCTGAACAGAGGAGGGGCTGGAGATGACACTGCTTCGGTCCTTTCTCTACACTTGCTGCTTTGTGCCTGCCATTTTTGGACTCTTGCTTGCTGAGGGAAGTATCTCAAGGTATTTCTTGATGTAAGGCATTGTTGGGAGGGTGGTGCCCACTTCCAAGCGACACAACTCGGGGAGGGATTTGCAGACCTGCCAGGAATGGTGGGTGTTGAAGTCCAAAGCACTTTGGGGGGAAGAGAGCCCTCCAAAGAAAGAGAGATCCTTCTGAGGCCAAGGGGAGGGGAGGGCAGGGTTGGTCCAACATGCAGGCTGCCCAGAAGAGCCGTCCCCTCCCCGTCCCAGGCTCCTCCCCCTCTCCTCCTCCTCCTCCTCCTCTGGGGCCGGGCTGGGGGACGACCCACTCCAGACGCCGCCCGAGCCTCGTCCTTGCTCAGCTGCAAGGAAGGAAGAAGCAAGCAAGGAAGGAAGGAAGGAAGGAAGGAGGCAGGTAAGTTGGCGCTCTGCACATGCTCCAGGGCTTGGCAGCCCCCCCTCCGCCCAAACTTCCCCCAAGTCGGGTTGTTGTGAGTTTCCAAGCTGCCTGGCCATGTCCCAGAAGCATTCTCTCCTGACCTCTATGGCAGGCAGGCATCTATGGCAGCAACCTCTGAGGATGCCTGCCATAGATGTAGGCGAAACGTCAGGAGAGAATGCTTCTGGGACATGGCCAGGGAGCTTGGGAAACTCCCCAGCAATCCAATATGATCATTGTATATATCACATACAATGTTGCATTATAGTGTAATATAATGTTGCATTGTAATGTGTTATTATGTATTCATGTAGGTGTGGGTTTGTTTTGGGGATTTTTGGGTTTTTTTGGGGGGGGGGGGTTGGTTGTTGTTGTCTTTGTCCAGCTTCTCGACACATTGATACCTGTGGGAAACTGCTCTGAGTCGCTCGGGGAGATAGATAGAGAGGGCCACATACAAATAAAGTATTATTATTGTTATTATTAGTATTATAATTGGAAACACAACAAGATGAGTCCACAGCAAACAAGGTCACGCTGCTGGCTGTTGTATTGGATCACAAGTGGGACACTTCCCAAGTGCCTAGGACTGTGTGATGTATTATTATTATTATTATTATTATTATTATTAATAATAGTATTATGATTATTATTGGACACATGTCTGACACTTCCCAAATGTCTACGACTCTATGATGTATTATTATTATTATTATTATTATTATTATTATTATTACTATTAGACACACGTAGGACCCTTCCCAAGTGTCTAGGACTGTGTGATGTATTATTATTATTATTGTTATTATTATTATTATTATTATTAGTAGTAGTAGTAGTAGTATTGCTGGATGGCCACATGTTGGACTCTTCCCAAGTGTCTAGGACTGTGGGTTGTATTATTGTTGTTGTTGTTATTATTATTATTATTGGAAACACAACAAGATGAGTCCACAGCAGACACTCCGCTGGCTGTTGAAATGGATCCCTCGTCGGACCCTTCCCAAGTATCTAGGACTGTGCGATGTATTATTATTATTATTATTATTATTATTATTATTATTATTATTATTATTGAAACACAACAAGATGAGTCCACAGCAGACACTCTGCTGGCTGTTGTATTGGATCACACGTCGGACCCTTCCCAAGTGTCTAGGACTGTGTGATGTATTATTATTATTATTATTATTATTATTATTATTATTATTATTATTGGAAACACAACAAGATGAGTCCACAGCAGACACTCTGCTGGCTGTTGTATTGGATCACACGTCGGACACTTCCCAAGTGTCTAGGACTGTGGGATGTATTATTATTATTGTTATTATTATTATTATTATTGTTATTATTATTGTTATTATTTGAAACACAACAAGATGAGTCCACAGCAGACACTCTGCTGGTTGTTGTATTGGATCACGCGTTGGACAATTATTATTATTATTATTATTATTATTATTATTATTATTATTACTGTTTGAAACACAACAAGATGAGTCCACAGCAGACACCCTGCTGGTTGTTGAATTGGATCACACGTCGGGCACTTCCCAAGTGTCTAGGACTGTGTGATGTCTCGGCAAATAATACGTGGAGATCCCAGTAAGGTGGCCTTCTGCAGATGGCAGATGGTCATCTTGTCAGTGCAGATTGCTTTTAAGTGCAGGCCAAGGTCTTTAGGCACTGCACCCAGTGTGCCGATCACCACTGGGACCACCTTGACTGGTTTGTGCCAGAGTCTTTGCAGTTCAATCTTTAAATCCTTTTAATTCGTTATTATTATTATTATTATTATTATTATTATTATTATTATTATTATTATTATAAACACCACAAGATGAGTCCACAGCAGACACTCTGCTGGCTGTTGCATTGGATCACACGTCGGACACTTCCCAAGTGTCTAGGACTGTGTGAATGCGTACAGATCCCAGTAAGGTGACCTTTTGCAGCTGGCAGATGGTAATCTTGTTAGCGCCGATTGTGTTTAAGTGCAGGCCAAGGTCTTTAGGCACTGCACCCAGTGTGCCGATCACCACTGGGACCACCTTGACTGGCTTGTGACAGAGTCTTTGCAGTTTGATCTTTAAATCCTCATATCGTGTCAGCTTTTCCAGTTGTTTCTCTTTAATCCTGCTATTGCCTGAGATTGCAACAACAACAATCCATAATTTGAGATTTGGATCTGATTCTATTCGAGGCGTGATGACGTTTTGTGTATTGTTTGTGGTTGTTTGTCATATATATTGTTCAATGTTGCACATTTTACTGTAAACCGCTTAGAGTCGCCGTTGGCTGATATTTGCGGTATACAAAAGGAGTAAATAAATAAAATAAATAAATAAATAAATAATTTGTTTTTTAACACGATCATGTGGTCAGGAGTCTTGTGCTCCTAAACTCTGTCAGTCTAAATTGGGAAGTCCCAGACTCTATTATTATTATTATTATTATTATTATTATTATTATTATTATTAGCTGTCCCCTACTACCCGTTGCTGTGGCCCACATGGGGGTTCAATGTGAGAGGTTTGGTCCAATTCTATCGTTGGTGGGGTTCAGAATGCTCTGTGATTGTAGGTGAACTATAAATCCCAGCAAGTACAACTCCCTAATGTCAAGGTCTGTTTTCCCCAAACCCTACCAGTATTCACATTTGGGCATATTGAGTATTTGTGCCAAGTTTGGTCCAGATCCATCATTGTTTGAGTCCACAGTGATCTCTGGATGTAGGTGAACTATAAATCCAAAATTCAAGGTCATTGCCCACCAAACCCTTCCAGTATTTTCTGTTGGTCATGGGAGTTCTGTGTGCCAAGTTTGGTTCAATTCCATCGTTGGTGGGGTTCAGAATGCTCTTTGATTTTAGGTGAACTATAAATCCCAGCAACTACAATTCCAATGTCAAGATTCTATTTTCCCCAAACTCCACCAGTGTTCACATTTGGGCATATTGAGTATTCTTGTAGAGTTTGGTCCGGATCCATCATTGTTTGAATCCACAGTGATCTCTGGATGTAAGTGAACTACAACTCCAAAACCAAAGGACACTGCCCACCAAACACTTCCAGTCTTTTCTGTTGGTCATGGGAGTTCTGTATGCCAAGTTTGGTTCAATTCCCTCATTGGTGGGGTTTAGAATGCTTTTTGATTATAGGTGCAACTATAAATCCCAGCAACTACAACTCCCAAATGACAAAATCAATTTTTTGAGTGAAGGACATACAGTGGGTTGTTAGGTGTCTTGTGTCCAGATTTGGTGTCAATTCATCCAGTGGTTTCTGAGTTCTGTTAATCCTACAAACAAACATTACCTTTTATTTATTTTTATTTATTTTTATTTATTTATTTATTTATTATTTTTATATTTATTTCTATTTCTATTTTTATATTTTTATTTTTATATTTTTATATTTATTATTTTTTATTATTTTTTATTATTATTTATTATTTTTATTTTTATTTTTATTTCTAATTTTTATTTCTAATTTTTATTTTTATTTATTTTATTTTTATTTATTTATTTATTATTTTTATATTTATTTCTATTTCTATTTTTATATTTTTATTTTTATATTTTTATATTTATTATTTTTTATTATTTTTTATTATTATTTATTATTTTTATTTTTATTTTTATTTCTAATTTTTATTTCTAATTTTTATTTTTATTTATTTTATTTTTATTTATTTATTTATTATTTTTATATTTATTTCTATTTCTATTTTTATATTTTTATTTTTATATTTTTATATTTATTATTTTTTATTATTTTTTATTATTATTTATTATTTTTATTTTTATTTTTATTTCTAATTTTTATTTCTAATTTTTATTTTTATTTATTTTATTTTTATTTATTTATTTATTATTTTTATATTTATTTTATTTATTTTTAATATTTTATATTTTTATATTTTTTATATTTTTATTTTTTATTTTTTTTATTTTATTTTTATTATTTTATTTTTATATTTTTATTTTATTTTTATTTTTATTTCTAATTTTTATTTTTATTTATTTTTCTTTATTTTTCTTTATTTATATTTATTTTTATTTTTATTTCTAATTTTATTTCTAATTTTTATTTCTAATTTTTATTTCTAATTTTTCTTTTTCTTTTTCTTTTTCTTTTTATTTGCAAGAGTTCCGGGGCCAGCCCTCCTGGCAGGTGGAGCGAGGCGGCTGCTTCAGGTGGCCAAAGAGTCTCCCTTGCCTGGCTCCACCATCCCTTTCAAGGCATGCGGAAGGTGCTCCCACCTGTGGAATGGTGGAGGTGAAGGAGGCCAACTTGTTCTTAGTCTCAAGAGGCAGGATCACTTAAATTGAGAAGTCTGGATGGTCCGGGCCCAAAAGCGGTCATTGTCGTCCGTGCTGTGTTTGTTGTGATGGGATGTGCAATAGGAGGCTCCTCTAAATCCAGAGTGAAGCTTCCTTTGGGGCAGTGTTTCTCAACCTGGAGGTCAGAATCCATGGAGGGGTCATGAGGGGGTGTCAGAGGCCAAAGACCATCAGGAATAGCATTTTCCATGGGTTTTCAGTGGATTCTGTGTGGGAAGTTTGACCCAATTCTATCGTTGGTTGGGTTCAGAATGCTCTGTGATTGTAGGTGAACTATAAATCCCAGCATGTACAACTCCCTAATGTCAAGGTCTGTTTCCCCCAAACCCTACCAGTATTCACATTTGGGCATATTGAGTATTAGTGCCAAGTTTGGTCCAGATCCATCATTGTTTGAGTCCACAGTGCTCTCTGGATGTAGGTGAACTACAACTCCAAACCAAAGGACACTGCCCACCAAACCCTTCCAGTATTTTCTGTTGGTCATGGGAGAACTGTGTGCCAAGTTTGGTCCAATTCCATCATTGGTGGGGTTCAGAATGCTCTGTGATTGTAGGTGAATGTAAGTGAACTACAACTCCAAAACCAAAGGACACTGCCCACCAAACCCTTCCAGGATTTTCTGTTG